AGCAAGCTGTGTGCCCTCGACCCCTCCTCACAGTTGTCTCTGACCTTGGTGGCCCTCTGTTGAACCTCTGTTGCTGCAGTTTATTGATGCCTGTTTTGTACTGGGTGGCCCAAAATTGGATGCAGTATCAAGATGCAGTGTAATGAGTGCCGAGTAGAGGAGAATAATTGATTCTCTCAATCTCCTAGCTCTGCTTCTGTTGATTCAGCCCAGGATGTTGCTGGCCACTTCTGCTGCCAGAGCACACTGCTGTCTTGTGTTTGACTTGCTCTCCACAAGGACACAGGACCGCTTCCATAGAGGACAACGTGGTAAATCTGTACTGTCCCTAAGCAGCTTTTCCATGTGCCCAGAAATGTGTTCCAAGAAGGCTCACTTCAAACATTTCTTATATGAGAAAAGTCATGATGTTGGTAGGGGCAGAGGGTGTTACTTTCACAGGCTGCAGCAGGTGCCTTTTCCTGTTGCTTAGCTGTTTATTCCTCTTGTTTGGCTGCTGTTTCTTTTCTTAAAACAAAAGCAGGTTTTTCCCAGCTCTCAAGGTTGCACTTCTTTAGTGGCTAGTAACTGACCATCACAGAGTTGCTTATAGTGCTGGGGCTTCTGCTGTAAGCCTGTTCCCAAATATTCAAGGGCCTTTGGTGTTACCACACACTTAAGCTATAATGTTATAAAAAGCTGGTACCCAACTCTAGGTCGCACAGCAGGTTCTCATAACAAGTGGATAAGCCTAACAGGCCAGGACCAGGGCTTTGCACAGCTGGCATAAGGCACAGCATAAGGCCTGAGGGCCTATTCTTAGCAGTGGCAATCCTATTTTTATTCAGCCATTTTGTACAAAGATGCATATTCATTATTTACTAGTCATGCTATGTAACTGCTTATATTTGAGTTCATAACAAGCTAATAATAATTAAATGCTGCTTAGTATGCTTCTATTTTTACGGGTGCAACAATCTCTGCTTTGGCTATGGACAGTTAAGGTTTTATAAATGGAGCTGTTGATGCACAGTGCTGCATTTCCTCTTGAATCCTGACTGAGGATAATGCTGTTGCAAGTTCCCACTGATTTAATTTTGTATATTGGTGTAGATTGCACAGGGAGCGTCAAACTGTGTGTATATATATGTACTTTTAAAGACATTTTGTTTAATTTTCTGTAGTTGTCTTGTAGATGATAAAACCTTCTTTAAAAAAAAAAAATGGGTAATTGTCACCAAAAGCTCTTCACATGAAGATTAACTGTTTCTACTCAGTTTTGAACATTAAAAAAAAAAATGTAAGGGCTTAAAATGCTGTGAAATATGTGGTTTGCATCGCTGATGTAGGGGATCACTTTTGCATTAGGATAACTTCTTCATACTGTTTTTAAATAAAGCGTGAGGTTTTTTGTTGTGATGATATAGGCATGGTAATATCATACAGTACAACTGATGAATTGTCCAGCTATTGGGCAGCATTTCGTATCGGTTAAAACAGAAACTTTGTGTGTCAATGAAACTGAAATACTAAAAATACAAAGATGATTAAAATTTTTATTCCTGTGTAAGATGGGTGTAAGGTTAGCCGTTTTAACCAAAAAACGTTAACCATTTTGTTAAGGATAGTGGCAGTTCTTTTTTGAATTGTCTTATGTATATCAAAAAGAGTCAAACTGGTCTGTTTGGAAAAAAAAAAGTATATCTGGAAACATGAAAAATCATGCTCAGCTTGAATGTATTGATTAAGTTGTGGTGAGGTTTTGAACAATTAGAGTTTAATATAGGGAAGAACATAACAAAGCTGTTTCCTCATTAAAGGTTTTCTTGCCTTGTATATCTTTTCACTTTCACACTTGCTTTTTAGTTTAGGTGCCTTAAGTAGCCTCAGGAAATCGGGAAGAATGATCTTCCTAACAGTTTCACAAACAACTTCCGCAACTCTGACAAATCCAGTTTCCGGAGAGGTGCTGGAATTATTTCAAGAGCTGTTTTAGATTGAAACTACTTATCTTTTTCTTTTTCTTTCTTTCTTTCTTTTTTTTTTTTGTTTAAGTTTAGAAATGTGTTATCATTCTTTATAGAGGCACATGCAAGTATGTTTTCCTGTCCTCCTCGAATATTGCTCCCGCTGTGTGTTTTGGAGACTAGACTAGGAAAAAGCCTTAAGAGTTACCAGGATCAAATCCTTTAAGATGAATTGTGAGGGGAAGGGGAGAATTGGGGAAATAGTCTACCACCTTAAGTTTGGGAATGGCTTACTGTATATGGACAGAGAACTCTATACTCAGCAGGCACCATGAAGTCCATGATCGATTAAAATAGGCAAATGGGCGTTTAGCACTTTGTCACACAGTTCAGTTAATTTCCCACCAAAACTGAAATATCACAGGTATGTTTCTGTGCTGCTGTCCTCATACACTCTGCATATCCCCTTGATGTCTTCTCACCGTTGTCCATTTACATACCAAATAAAGAATTGCTATAGCAGCGTGGTGAGCATTAACAGTGGGGCAGTTGTGTTGCAGTCGTTGACAGGGGTCACAGCTAGAATTGAACGCGTACCGGAGTCTCTGCAGGCAGGCGAGCCAACCTTGGAAGCAGCCAGAGACACACAGGTTCTTGTTCTCCGTGTTTTACAAACCTCCATGACCACCAGCAGTGCTGGGAAATTAATTAGTGGAGCACATGCGGTTGGGCATTCATCAAGTTGCTGGCCATGGGATTTATGTAAATGGCAGTCAGAATAGGGACTGATCATGTTGACCCGTTTGTCTGTTTAATTTATGATCTCAGAGCTGAAACACTTGTGTTTATCACTTAGAATAGTGGGGACCATTCTTCCATCTGTCACTGTATTTTAATCCTTTCTTATGGATAAACATTAATATTTCCTATCTACCTTCTTCCAGTTTTTGAGTTGAATTAAGGCGCTTTTATTTGTTTGATTATCACTAAACAGAATAGGAAAGTCAGCAGTTGTGTTCAAGTAAATCATTCTAACAGGTTAAAAATACTGTGTAAAAATGACTCTCTTATAATCATTTTTATATCTACTCTAAGGCTTTTAAAAAAAGATTGTGAAATACTTGTATTTCATCTTTTTTGTTTCCTATTAGTTAACTATGTTCTGTGGGTTTTCCCTAAGCAACTCTCCATAAAGAATTGTTAGCACTTGTCTGGCCAACATGATGGTGGTAGGTTCACTTACTTGTTGAGTGCTTTCCCTCTGATGTGTGGCTGGTAATTGAGGAAGAAAAACTGACTATTGCAACCACACATCTTGCTGCTGTAAAGGAGGCTGTCAGTTCTTACATGAAATTAAGTCACTGAGGGAGTTAATCTTGAATACTTCAGGTTTCTTTGTTTAAATTGCTGTGTTGTCTTCCATTATTGAATTTTCTATATTTTTCACCGCAGATATTGCTGGAGAATAATGAAGCATTCCATTTTTAGTGAAGTAACAGTAGTCTCCTTTTTAGTCAGCCGGAGAATGTAGTTCAAAAACCTGAAAGAAGTGAAATTTCGCTCTGTCAGTTCTTGGAAAACTAACTTAAGTTTACGGAGAATACTGTTAAACAGGGGTGTTTGCTTTCTCTGTCCAGACATTTTAAACGTAGGAAAAGTTAACTTAGTGGCTTTGTAATCTTTCTCACTGAACTCGCGCTGCACCATTTTTCCTGAAACGCGAGATGGCTACAAAGCTAAACTAGCCCTTCTTTTTATCAGTACAGATGCACGGTGCAGTTACTTTCTTTTTTTAGTTTACTACGTAATGCACATTGATTACCACAATCAAATAATGCTAAAGGTATGCGCAAGGCGTTGAAAGAGAAGTGGTCCAAAGCAGTTTATGCCCTCCTGCAGGACCGCTAGTTCAGCTGAAAGTGGAAGTTCGGAAGGGAGCTCTGAGGAGCAGAGGGCAGAGCCAGCAGGCGCCTGTGTGATCACCCTGCTAGAGCGAAGGAACGTCTGCGTCGCCTGTGCCGGTGCAGAACGGGAGAGAACGTTATGTCCTCTAATCCCCTCTGGGAGCGTTATGGAGTTAAAAGGACAACATTTTACCAGATCTGTGTTTTAATGTGATAGGCTACACTTGATTACCTTTTTAATTACCTTTCTTCTGTTGCAGGGTTTTAATGCTGAGGACCCTACCTCTAGCTCTCATCACAGAGCTTTTCCTGCCTTTGGATAGTTTATGCCTGTTTATTGTTTTATTTTCCTTTGAGATTATCATGAAAGATGATCCTGCTGTTTGTCTTGAAGGCAGTTATATTCCAACTCATTTTTCCCTCGTGTGGGAAAAGCTCTGAGAATATTAATTTTGGATACAAAAGACACAAGTGGCAGCTAGAAGTGTGTGTTTTGAATTTAGATGTAAAGTGCAGACTCACCGAGCTGTTTTATGAGGAAGGAGTAACAGTGCGTGGCAGAGGCCACACAGGAGCAAGAAGAGATTATTTCAGCCTTCTGAGTGCTCGCGGCGTAAGCCAGGGGAGTGTATTGACTTTAAATAATGTAGACTTCTTTCTTCCCTCTTTACTCCTGAGGGAGTCTGATTTCCTGATCCCCTATCTAGCCATATGCCATAGCTCTTGCCAGGAACTTCTAGCAGTGTCATTGCCAGCTAAAATTACTTGTCTTCTGAGAACTGAATTATGTTGAGAATTGTCTTAAAATGCTGCATTGGCAACATCACAAAGTTTTTGTGTACACACACACAAAATACATTAAAGCAGCTTTACCTTGAAATTCAGACTGGAAGCTCTGCTTCAAGCATTGAATTTGATCGAGATACTGTTGGGCGCATCGCTCTCTCTTTGTTCTCTTTCCAGTGCTTTCCTCAGCTTGTTTGTGCTTTGACTAGTACAGTACAATATTGATATATACAAATTAAACATTTACGAAGAAACCATATTGTCTACTCCTGTTTTGTAGCAGTTATAGTGAAGGCCTAGTACAGCTGGTAAAACCTGCTAATGTTTTGTGGTAACTCTTTTTCTTTCCTCTTTTAACAGGATGGAACTGAAATACAGTTACAGGCTGACTAAGGAGTCAGAATAAGACTGAATCCTGCTCTGTGACCTTTCTATACCTGGACCATGAACGTGCTCTTTGGCTTCATGCTTTAGAAACCTTTGTAGTAACTCTGTGAAGCTGCTGGAAATCATGGCATTCTCTCCATGGAAGCTGTCCTCTCAGAAACTCGGCTTTTTTTTGGTGACTTTTGGTTTCATTTGGGGAATGATGCTTCTGCATTTTACTATTCAGCAGCAAACACAACATGAAAGCAGTTCAGTCCTGCGTGAGCAAATTTTGGATCTCAGCAAAAGATACATCAAAGCACTAGCTGAAGAAAATAGAAATGTTGTAGATGGGCCTTATGTTGGGACAGTGACAGCATACGGTAAGTGCCTGCTCTAGATCACGTGATAATTTGATTAAGAGGTTTTTCTCAAGTGGTACAAACATTTTGCTTCAAAATGCTGCTCACCTGACCGTACTTCCAATTTCCAGTCTCTTGTTCACAATCTCTATCTCTTTCAGTCTCTTGGTCAGTGTTACACCCTGGGGATGGGAGGAGAAATAAGAGGGTAAAGTATAATCAGATTAGTTCTTGATTTAGTGACTCGACAACGATATTTGAAGTGTGGGTGTTGTCTGGTAAATACTTTTCTTCCTTCAAAACTTATACTAATTTCTCTTTTTAAAGTAACGTTCACTAGTCCAGGTTAATTGGCTTTCCTGGAGGACTTCTACCCAGCTAGCAGAACCCAGTGTACCTTCCCTGAGGATAACAAAGTAATTGGCACTTGAATTACCAGCTGTTTAAGGATTTTTCACGGTGAAGATATCTGTCTCTGTGACTTGAATGCAGCACTTGGGAATTTGTAGGTTCCAGCTCAAAGTAGCTGTGTACTTGTCAGTGACCAGATTGACAATTTTAGTCCCCTTTTCCTCCAACGTGAGACCAATTCTTTGGTTCTTCAGTGTGTGCTCTTTAGGGAGTGTTTTCACCAAAACATTCTGATGCAACATCTATTGAACTAGAATAAAAGGTAGATATGGTGCTGTAGACAATGAAGAATGGAGGAAAATAACTGGAAAATCTTCAGTTATATAAGGAGACTCTACTGAAATTTTTAAACATACATGGAAGAAATAGACATTAATTGCCAGAAACGCATGAATCCTGTCATGATAAACAAGGACGTACACTGAGTTGCCCTAAAGAGGATAGAAACAGCAGAAAACATGAAGTTCTGTTATGATATGTATCAGTATTGTATTGCAAGAGGATTGTGAATGAGCTTTTGTGTACATACCCCATTAAACACATACCATGGGCTATATGGGAAAGGTTCTATATACCCTGCTGTTAAATGCCTGACTTTGCAGGGGCGGGGTGGCTTACAAGGGAATCAAAACCTTTTGCCAGCATGGTGAATCTTCTGTGTGATCTGTTGATTCTTATAGTGAATCCTCATTTTGATACTATGGTGTACCATTGGCAGGGGGAGAGAAAAGACTTTTTTAAACTCATGATTGCTATGAACAGTTTATGAAGTAGTCTGACCAACTGTAACTATCCTGAAGGAAACACTGTCACAACTTCACTCTTCACCCACAGCGGGAATAAGAGGATCGAACCTGTCGTCTGTGGTTTAACTTTCTTCCAATGTGAAGAAAGAAACACTAAATGGTTTCTCATTCTCATGCTGAATGATTTCCATATTAAAGACTGATCGAAATTTTGTTTATTCAAAATGTTAAAATTCAGTTCTAGTTCACTTTTTAGAGCAGGGATAACTTTAGACCTTTTTGGAATTTCAAAGTCCTAGTTTTAACTTTCAGAAAATACTTTTTTTTTTCCTATCAATTGTTATAGCTAATTTTTGAAAACAATTTCCATCAAACTATAAATAGGTATTTGTAAATGACACCAAGTTAGTTAGGCACAATATGAAGATCCAAACGACAGCAAACCCTAACAAGAACTCCACTAAGCTTATGGAACTATCTAGCATGCAAAATGGCTTGTTACCTTTCTGCTGGACAGCAGGTATCTATGTTGTACAGCTGGCTTAAGTGATCAAAGTGAGACCAGGAAGAGCGCTTACTATGTTTATATGTCTAAGAACCCGGATAGATGAAAAAGTGTCTCATGTTAATACTGGAGCAGCTGATTATTTGTGAGGAAGACCAATATACACAGCTGAAATAGCTTTCACCCCTCCATCAGGAATTAGGAAAGTATATCCTCCCTCATCTTGCAGATAGGCTAGGGTGAATTTACTCCTGCAATTAATACAGTTATGAGTAGCAACTAGGAAGGATTTGCTAAGAATCTTTTTATTCCTTGTTTTGCTTTTAAAATGCCAAAGAATATACTCTGAACTCAGAGAAGTGCCCAAGTGTGAGAAATTGATATGCTCCAAATGTTTAGTCCAGAGCCAGAACTGGACTGTGTCCTTTAGAACTTGCATTCGTGAGAGCAGTCATAGTGCCCTGAATCCAATATTAGGAAGTTGGCTGCTAATTTTTATAAAGTCTGTCTAACAGGTTCAGCTGTTATTTACCTGGTTATTTGTTAGAACTTGATTTAAATTTTTTGGCATTTTTCAGTTTATATGTCACTGTTTTATGAAATTCATGTGGAAAAATAACTTGCACTATGTTCATATTTCCTGCTCTTTCCCTTTTCACTTTTTTGGTCAGTCAGCTTACCTAACCTTAAGATTAGGTATCTGGCCCAGGCTTAGGCTTAGCTTAAATGTACTTTGTTTGGCAGTTATTTCTGCATAGTAAGTTTTGATTCTTCCTCATTTTCATTTCATTCAACTTGTGAATTAGGGGGGACGTGTATGTGTGGAAAAAGTACAAAAATGAACGGAGCATATTACTAGAAAATATTTCTAAAATAAAAATATGATGCAATTTCAAGTGAAGTGTAGCCCCTTTTTAAATTGGCAAGATCCAACCATACTCCTTGTTTGGTAGTTTTTTCCTGCTTACTTGCTTTCTTACTTACCTGCTCACTTTTAGGCTATTTGGGAAATGAATTGCAAAACAGAGTTGTTTCATCTTATAGTTCTCTTAATACTCTGCTCTAAAGAAATTGAACAGATGTCTCTTGTAGGCTTGGACAAAGAATGACGTTTAGCTTACAGTAGATTACATGGCTGCACTTTTCTCTTTGGTGCATGGAATAAAAGTATCTCTTTAACAGATGCAAGACATGTTGGGATGTCTTCATGTTTCTGTTGCTGCTTTTTCTCTCTTCTCATAAGTGTTTGTGTTCATATGAAAGCACTTGGCTATAAGGCTGACACTGTCATCCCTAGCGTCGCTAACTATTACGTTGCTTTGTTGCTTAAATAATGAGCAGTCTTTATTCTGTAATTTCTACTGGTCTGTGACTGCCCGCTGAACTGTATTGATATTGTAATCTTATGAAATAACACAAACTCAGTAGAGCGGGATTAGGTCAGTCTCCCCAAAGAATTGTGTGCATAGGCTTAAAAAAAGTTGCATTTTAAGAGTGCTTGAAGTTAAGTTGAATTTAAAAAAACAAAAAACAAAAAAACCCTGAAATAATACCTGTCTGCAGAAATTGAAGGTTAACTGCATTAATCTGTGCCCTTGCTAGGTTCAAGATTACAGGATATGCTTAACTATGTTCCCCCTGCAGTTTGCCCATGACATTCATTTCCTGTTCCAAATCCGGCTACGGAATCAGTTGACTTGCTGCCAAGCAGTGGTCAAGTTCCTCAGGAGATGTTAAACTGTGTTTTGCAGGTGGATGATGCAACTTCGTAATGCTTCCATCAGGTTAAGGCCAGCTAAGTTTTTTGTGTGGGAATATTCACGCTCCAGAGCCTTTTCAATTTAAAGACAAGTTTGGACAGGAATTCTCAAACTAAGGAGGTTTGAGGGATGCAAAATGACCGTAATGCGTTTGTTTAAAATGGTGGTGGGACAGGTGTTATGATGAGCAAATAATGCCATGCGAAACAACCTGTGTGAAACCGAGTGAGCCATCGGTTAGTCTGTCCAGTTTGGCATGCCACGTGGCCTGTTGGCAGCAAGCTGTCGAGTTAGCTGTTCAGCAATGAACTTGTTAATGGCTAATATTAATGACAGTGGCTAGAAGTTGGTTGATTGTTCTGTGAAAATTGCCCATGCTATTTAACCTTTTTACTTTGTAATCTTATCTTCTGATTACTCTTAACACACATAATCATGATTTCTGTGTTCAAGAATAAGTATTAAATTTGCTTGATTTGGCTGCCTTTTACCCACTCAGAAGGGTTTCAGTTATTCATAATCATGATTGCATAGTTTGTTCACTTTTTCACTTAGTGATATTGATTTTTATATTCTTCTACCGTACGTTGGTCTGTCATGTAGGTGGATCAAAGACTTCCTTTTTAGAAGTTGTAGTACAAATAGACAGAGTGGCTATTAGTTTTTTATAGCAGTAAACAGTTATTTTGCAAAAATTACTGTGAATTTGTGTCCCCGCCCTCACCTCCCCAAGTTAGCTTCCAAGTGCTTTTTCATTCTGGTGAGATGTCTCTCTATATCAGTGTTTCAGTATCAGTATTACAAGACTATAATGTTTAGCTGTTTTTTTCCTAATAGTCTATATATGCCTTAATGTAAGCTATGTTTCTTCCGCTTACTATTTCCTGCATCTTTTATTCCTATTCCATTCCTATTTTATTCCATACCTTTTTTTCTAGATTTTTCTCCTTCTGCAATGTGTTTTTTTTGTACCTGTTATTAAATTCCTGTTCTTTTTTTTTTTTTTTTTTTTTTTTGCCTTTGTCTTCTGGATCCCATTTGTGAATCATTTTGTTTTGATAAATGCTTCTTTTATCCTTCACTCCATTGCACCATACCTATATCTAAAAATATATTAAAGCAGTCCATATCATTAGCACTAAAAATTTCATCTTCTGATCTTTAGATTACAATTACACAGCACACATTTTTTTAAATTACAATTACAAAGCACACATTTTTTATTTCTTCAACTTGAATGTAAGGTACATAAAATTTGCTGTTTGCTATGTACATTATAAAATACATATGAAGACCAGTCCCATGTCCAGAGGAGCTTGTATCTGAGGTTGAACAACGTAGGGAATGTTTGTGCAAACAACTGTTAATGACCAAGATTTGCACTGAGTGTTTAGATGTATTACAGTCTCAGTCTTGCATCTATTTTGTAATCCTCTCTGATGGTGTGCATTGCAGTATTAAGCAATTTAACTTTTGGTTTGTAGATCTGAAGAAGACGCTTGCTGTCTTATTGGATAATATCTTGCAGCGCATTGGGAAGCTAGAGTCAAAGGTGGAAAATCTTGTACTTAATGGAACAGGAGCAAACTCTACCAACAATACTACTACTCCTGCTCCCAGCCTAGGAACGGCTGAAAAGCTTAATGTTGCAGGTGAGTATGGCAAATTGTTTAGAACACTTATGGGTTGTTTAATCTGTGTTTTTTCTCTGTGTATGCTCTTTTCTATGCCATAGTGTGATTTTTTTTTCTTTTTTTTTTTCCAGTTGCAAAGATTGAAATGTCTTTGAAACCAAAATTGAAAGGCTAACCTAAATCAATAGCAATTATAAGTCTATTGGTCTTTTACAAGATCAGAGGAAGCCTTTCTGCTATGGCAACTTGAACATGCTGAAGATAGGCTATTCTCCTTTGGCAGAGAATGTTATCTTGCACGTTTTTTAGATATTTTTACATCTTTCTACATCTACTAATTTAGAACATGTTTCATACTTTAAGTGGTTGCAAATCAGAAAGGTGAAACTAGGCAGATGTTTTCTCTCTAAGCCTAATTACTTGGTTAGTGAGAATCCACTCTGTGCAGATATGTAGACTGCATATACAATTTTATTATTAACCAAAAGAAAACACTTATTGTCATTATTTTATTAGTTATGATGTGAAAATGTCCCTTCCTCCTCTGCCCAAAGAAACACTAACTATGGTTACATTACTGATTATCATGTAAACATTTCCTTGCCTACTCTGCCCCGTAGCTCTTATGATTTGACATATAGAAATGATACACCTCATGTCTTCAGCTTAAGCAAATGCGTTTTTTAAAATGTCATTTGAAATCATCATGTTTATGTTCTCAGTGAATCAACTCTTTGCTACCCTTACAGCTTCTCAAAGCATTTGAGTTATAATCTAGTGGTGGTAGAATGCCTCGCTGGCCTCTTTACCCTGATGTCTCTTTATTATTCCAAACTTTGCCTGCTCTGAACAGATCTTGCAGTTCATGCTGCTTTGTCTGTTGTCCTGCCCCTTCCTCTACCACTGAGTCAAAAAGATACTGGCCGCTCTGACCCATGGGAAAATCTGCCTGTGCTCTGTGGATGATCTTTGCAGCCCCCAAAAAGGGAGCAGAGCAGCATAGCTAGGCCAAGCATGGCTACTCCAACAGGAGTATAACGGTACTGCTAAGTCTTGCTTATGCTTTGGTTTCCTGTCAAAATCAGTATCTCTGAGGCTGTTACATTTTTAATAAATCTGTCAATGTAGAGAAGCAGTTGCAACCTTTGGTAGACTAATGCCAATGAAAGGAAATGGGGAGCGTGATATGCAGGCGATTACCTGATTACAGCATACAACTGAGTTCTGCATGTTAGCAGCTCTGTAGTGGCTGTATTTATCCATAAAAGGAAATCTCAAATGTGTTATCTCTTGACAAGAGAGATCTTTGTTCCTTTTTTTACCCCATAATAAAAGCATGCTCACAAGCAGGGACCAAAGTGCTTTGCTCGTATGATATGTTTCTGCTTACCTTGTGGTAACTTTTTTTTCATCGTATCTCTGGCCTTAGAGCGAAAGCAGATTAGAAATGAGTAACTGTAGATGTGTAGTGCTTGCAAGACTAGTGGGCCGGATTGGGTGGGCCGTATTACTTCCACAAAGAATGCAACATGAGATCTTAGTTGCAGATGGAAAGTGAGCTAGTATAATATTGTAACAGTTTCTGGGTTAGCTTTAAAATTAAAAACAATCCTATATATTTTCCTTTTGCAGCTGGACAAAAAAGAGACTTGATGCTGTAATTTCAGTAGATTTGCAGATCAACTGGAAGAACCAGTTGTCAAAATTAGCTTTTCTCAAGTAAAAAATATCTTGAGACAAAACCCAAGATTGCGCTAGAACAAAAAAGTAAACTCATGTACTTGCCTATATCTTTATAGGGAAAGGGCCATTGTTCGGACAATGTAACCTGGCCAGGAAACATCTCTCGTCAGTTTTTAGGGTAAATGAATTTTGTTTGTTCTTGGAGTTTGCCAGCTTCACAATTCTGGCACTCACAAGCAACATTTAAGAAGCTTGTTAGGAGTCTTCAGTTTGCTGCCCGGGGCTTGTTCTGTGGCAAAGTCTACTGTTTGTCTCACTAGAGCTTTAGTTTTTCACCTTTGACTCTCAGTATACTAAGCTTAAAATGTCTGAAGGCACTGTAGTAAACAGCAACAACAACAACAAAAAGACCTTTAACAAACAGATTTGCTAAGGCTTGATTAGCGTGTGTTGCTCTGGTCCCTGTTTGGATGATGTCAATGTTCAGGTATCTCCAGGTAGGATAGTAATAATGTGTAGCATAGAGCTTGAGGCTAATCCTCACATACTTGCTAGTTAAAATACCTACTATTCATCCATTTGAAGCAATCAGGTGGAGATTCACCCTATCAGAAGTGACCAAATGGAAGTGAAAAACTTGTTTCTCCTGTCTTCATAGCATTTTCCCAAGAGTAGCAAACCCTGGAAGCCTTATAGGTACTGAGGTAAAATCATGACATAAACATTCCCTCTGTTGTTCAGAAAATAAACTAGGTAAGCAGACCTTCTGATTACAGTACCAGCTGTAGTGTTGGTCTTGTCTGTAATTTTTTTAGCCTTTTCTTTTTTTATAATGCTAGAGCAATTGAGATATCTGAAGATGCTTTACCCGAGAGCAAAACATATTTTTGTTATAATTTGAAACTGAGTATCATAGCAAGCCAGATTTGTCAATTTGAATGTGTACCTATGAGTTTTTCTTCATTGTGTATTTTAAGTATTAGTAACACTTTTCATTTAAAAAAGAAAAAAAAAGACACTATTTATCTGCCGTCTAGGAGAAACCAAAAATGATTATGATTAGTCAACATTTCTCCTTCAAAAGCCTCTCTGCGAATGGAATTTTTTTTAATTATGTACATTGCTATACTTGAAAAGTAATCCTACAATCAGTATCCGTATGTCACAGGTGGAGGATCACAGTAATGCAGGAATCCTGGACTAATCCTAGAGGTCAAGCTGGTGAAATCAATCTAGGTCATAATCTCAGTGGTTTCTATCAGACTTAATGAACACAACTGATGTGACCATAACTAAAACTCATGGATTGCAAAATTTCCATCTGTGAGGTTATGGACGCTGGCTATTGGAGCAGACATGGAGTGTTGTTGTTTTTTAATTTTTGCTTCTGCTCACCTTGTCTGTCTAGACAGTTAAAAATACTGTTATGAAGAAGGAGCATTTATACTGTTAGAATGTAAAGATGGTTTCCTAAGTCATATATATGTTATATTTTAGCATGGCCCAGATATGAGGTCATATTTGACTACATAAGTAATCCAGGTAACAATGAAGAGAGTATATTTTGAGAAATGGTTGTCAGTTACAGTTGCTGAAAGACTGATGAAAAATTAACAGGCCAGTATGTTTGAAAATGCTGACATGTTTCTCAATAAACTAAGGTATGCAAGTTTTGCCCAGTATACATCTTTATAGTAAAATATCTGTTAGCCCAAGCAAGTTCTTATTTGTAATAAACTTAAAAGATTGCCTCTTCTAATGTACTCTATACAAGCTGACACCACTTTCAGTTACCACTTGCCCTTGATACCACAACATGGAATCCATCATCCTTTCTCCTAATAAAGAAAAACAACAACAAAAATCTACTATGTACTTTTTGATACCCAAAATACCCTCTCTCTGTGACCAGCTGAGTCCTCTTTGCATATTCTTTTGTGGACAGATGTATCCAAACTTTGAGAACGGTCATTGCAGCTGCCTGGGCAAATAAACTAGCTTGTGTCCCCGTAAGGAGCAGACCTGTTCTGTGTTTGTTAGTGGGCAGCAGTTGCCTGTAACTCAATGACCGCATTAATAAAGGGATACGCAGCGTTTACAGTCTTGACAGTGTGAAGGCAGATGAAGAGTTTCCTCTGAACCTTATGAATAAGGAAAGACCTAATACTCTTTTATTTGAAGAAGCTACGAAGCTGTCGGCTAGTGTTTGCAGTCAGAATGTCGTCTGGAAGATTACCAATGTCTTCCAAAACCTTAACCAGTAACTTTTGTAGGCTTTCTTGATGAATGTGTGGTAGCAGTGGTGGTAAAAAGATTAAGTTTCTTCAGGAAAATATAAACCCATCAGGGAAGTTTCTGACTATCCAAGATTTTCTTCTGAGGTGACGTTCAACAGCAGTCTATGGAAAATGTTGGGTAAGGTGAGCCATAAAGTTTGGGAAGATCCAGGTGCGTGTTGTAGGGAAGGTTTTAAAACCTGTACTACTGTGCTAAAATAATCCTTTATAAATTATGTTGTAAAGGAACGAGCAGTATTCTTTCTAGAAGAGCCTCTCAGTGAAGGGAAAAAGGAGGTACTGGTATGGGAAATAATCAAACTGTCATGGCAACTTGGAAAAATTTATCTACTTTTCTTTTAGGACTATTAATACACCCATAAGTTGAATAAACTCAAGAGGTGCCACTAGCTATCATGACTATTTATATCTATTTCTTCTAACAGCCTAATAGAAATGTTTATGGCTTCTTAAAACCAGTTTTGATCCAATCCTTTAGCCTGTGCTTTGGCCATAGTAGCCTAAACTGGACAAGCAGTTGAGGATTTAGCAAGGACTGTAAACTCAACTCTCCTTAAAGTATGTAAACTCAAACTTTTAATTGATTCATTTTTCGGTTTCCGTTTCCAGACTAGAAATCTGTTTCTTCCTCTTCAGACACTCAGGTAGCGTTGTTGATTTATATGTAGACTGTAATGTGTATTCATATCCTCATTGTATTTAAGTTTAATATTTGCAATGTGTTGCTATGTCTGTTTTTTTGTTCTGAATTTAATTTAGCAGGATCTTTCACTGAGAAGCCTAAGAACAAGCCTAAGTGCAGCTTCTCTCCTTTTTGGATAGTGTGAAAGGATAAGAGAGCAGGAGCTCTTAGTGTAACAAGTATCTCTAATCCTAATCCCAATGAAGCAGAGCATAGGGCCCTCTACTGAAGAATGAGATGAGCTAATGGACTGCATAGTTTGTGTTAAGAATCAAAGCCAAGGAGGACTTGGATAGCTTGAGTAGGAGACCAGGTGTTCTTTTTTTCTTCTTTTTTCCTTTAGAAGCCATAAGTAA